AAAATTTGGACAACTAAGTTTCTGTGTCTATAAATTTCGACAACTCATTAAACACTGATCAGTTTGAATAATTCGATACGTTGCGATAACTTATTAAGCATGGATAAATTTCGATAATTATAAACCACGATGTTTCGATAAATTTCAGTAACCTTTATGGCTGATTTTATTTCGATTCCTATCGGAAAATTTCAACTCGGTTAGCCTGATTCTTATGTATTTCTCCATTTTCGCATTTATCTCAATTTTCGTCTTTATCTTTACTTTTGCCTTTTTTTGTCTTCATCGTTATCACTTGTTTCTTCATCTTCATATTTATCTTTATTTCAAAGTTTAATTTCAAATACGAAGTAAAACAAAATGCGAACCAGCTTAAACAATATCGATTGTTATATCGAGAAAAATATTGAGTTTTATATCGATAACAATTTCGATCTTCATCCTCATCCTTTTCTTCATATTTATCTATATTTTTGCATATTCCTCTTCACATTTACCTGAAAGTGTTTAGATTTACTTTGATCTTCGTTTTTGCCTGTACCTCTAGGCATCTTTGTTTTTGTTTTTATTCTCAAACCGCTAAATCGCTGAGAACCATTTCCATGTGCATTATTCCCCTTGAATTTGACAATTTACTCCCAACCAACCAACTGGCGTAAAGAAGTTTCACTTCATAAATTGAAGAAATGCTCTTACCCTTTCAGTTACCCTGATTCTTATGTACCTGTCATTGTCTCCATTTTCGTCTTTATCTTCACTTTTGCCTTCTTTTTTTTACTTCATCGTTATCATTTATTTCTTCATCTTCATATTTACATATCTTTATTTCAAAGCTTAAATTTAGTATGGCCATATGGCTTAATTACCAATTGTAATTGGAAATAAAGCCATATCGAATTTATGGCCTTATTAACAAAAAAATATGGCTTTATTTCCAATATGGCTTTATTGCGTATGGCCTTATTGCACCCCACCCTTTTAAACACAAGTGCGTTTGTTTGTTCGCTGCACTTGGTTTTGTGCGGGAGTGCAATACAAGTGCGTGTGTGT